TATTTCACAAATTTTATTGCTGAGGAGGTAATGATTTAAGTGACAAAATAAACAGAAAAATGAGAATTATTATATTACTTTTTTGCTAATTCCAATTTTTCTTTATCCAATAATTTCAGGTCTCTCGTGGTCTGAATGATTATGCCCTTCTGTTTGCTTTAATGCGTGTTGTACGAAGTCTTCTGCATAATCCTCACATACATATAGAACCCTATGTAAGCAAACCTCCCTATACTAGATTGGTTTTGGATTAATATAAAGAGAATTATGTGTTGATGCTGCTAATTATCTCTAACGTCATTTTATTGAAAAAGTATTTATAAGGTCAGCTCTGTCCATCTAGCAGATGCCAAAGTTGGTTTACTGTAATGATCTGTGTGTAATGGTCCTGAAGAAGAATTCATTAACCCTTTATAACCGTGCAGAATAATTAGAGTAGATCTGGAAAAGTATCATGGATTTTCGTTCCTTTAATTAACTGCTTCCGCTTTAATTATAACAATGTGCAATTGTAACTCTTGAAAAACATCAAATTGTACTCTCAATTAAGTTGGGAGTACACCTAGTGGAATTTTAGAAGACATTTTGATGTAGAGTAAATTAAGATTAGTTTTTCAACCTATGGATTTGGGGTAAACCTAAACATCATATCTAGATTTTCTTAGATATCACATCCTATAAAGAGTCTCTTAAGCATCATGTTGAAGATTTAATTACATCACATAACCACATTATTAAGAAAAATTTCGCCATAATTTATTCACTAAAAACTTTTTAAAAGTAAAATTAGAAAGATAGTTTTTTTTTTAAATAAAAGGAAAATATTATTATACATAAGGTACCAAGGGGGTGCTACCTGAATACAAGATAATTACATATTTTAATCAAGTGGTTTATTACAACACCAAAGTCCCACATGTTTTTGATGTCATGACCCAACAAAATAAAGTTAAAAGTATGAATTTATCTATTTCTAATCTTTGTAAAGTTAGTCTCTATATTTTCAAAAACTCTTCCAT